TTCCTAAAGCTCAATTCCGGTTGCCTTGACTTTGTCTTGTCACCGAAACAGAGTGAGTGTGGGAGAAGAAAGTGAAGCAGACACATCATAAATCGGATTTACCATAGTGATACAACGGAGTGTTCGCTTTCAAAGGACTATCTGGCAGTGACAGTAGATTTTTTCGGTAGTGAGTCCATCTCTGGTGTCTGAGATGGGTCCCTGGGTGCAGACTCGTGCTCTTTAGCCGGTCACTGCGCCCGCAAGTAGTATAATTCAGTATATATAAGGGAGATAGGCAGGACCTTTGAAAACCCTATTTATAGACGGATTCTGACAAATCATGCACATGGTTCAGAGCCATATATGCACATTAGATTAATCGTTGGTGTCTACCAAACGTATGACTATCAAATAAGGTTTTACCAAGTCTTCTTTAAACTGCCTCATGGCTTTCAGCAAGACCAACTAGTTTGTTCTAGTCTTAAATGAACCGGTGGGAAAAAGATTTGGCTCGCACTCCTAGTTTGGCATGGTGTTTCTTCAGTTGGCCGACTAGACGAAAGTGTGTAACTGTAAGCTCTAAGTCTAAAGATATTATTTCGCTAACGCTATCTTCGAATCTTCAAGGCAGGAAACTCACAAAGCAACAGCATTTCTATTTGGGGATATTTTTGATTTATATTTAATTCTGATAAACGTGGCAAAATGACAGCGAGCGTACTCCAGCATGAAATAATGGCTTAAAACCTTGTAGCTGTTTCCTATAGCTGCAAACGAATTTGGGAATATTTTCCAAAATTTCACTGCTAACCATTTAGGAGGTTAGAATTAGTGTCAGGGTAAATATTACGTTTATGCCTGGCGTTGGGAAGCAGCAGTAGATACCCTTTTGAATTTAACGTGCTGTCTGGTCGGTCATTTCGCCCACAAATAGATGGTTGCTGACTGGCCGAACATCTCCAGTTGTAATGCTCAAGTCTGAAGATACTATCTTTTAATGAGATAAAAGCGTCTTTATTGGTGAAAACTATGGGTAACTTTCATTCTGGTAACAATGGTAAAATGAAAACTCGCGTTTTCCGGCATGAAGTAATGGTTTAAGACCTCGTAGTTGCTCCTACAGCTGCAGAAATAGAGGGCAATCTTCGCAAACCTTTCACTGCTAGCCAATTACAGTGTTCGGGTTGGTCCTAGGGTAAAGAGTAAGTTAAGGCCCAGGCTTTAGAAACGGAAATAGGTATCCCTTGGAATGGAGTGCAAGGCGACCTGTCATTCCGAGCCAAATATGCTCGTGTCAAAGCTGAAACTCTATGCGACGAGGGAGGAATTTAGAAGTCAAAAAATATGTTGAACTTTTTTGATGATCTGTGATTGGATTTAAAATTTAACAAATTACGAGGAACTTGCGACAAAAAGAGCGCTAAAAAGGCTATTTTAAAAATCTAAGCCTTATACCTGTATTAAATGCAGTGTATCTGTATTGGCTGTTAACCTAAGCACTTTCATTTGAGGCAATCATTAAAATTAGGTTTCTAAACTTTTGAAGGCTTTTCTTAATCCCGCTCCTCCAGTAAGTTCGGCCGAATTTCTGTAAACCTTTTTGAAGTCTTTTGATTAAGTTCCCGTGATCGAATGCACTTTCCCATAACGAACAATACTGGCTCTTGTCGTAACTTTTAAAGTGTATTTCTGTATGCTGTGCCTCAAGGGTCATTTGAAATTCAAGTGAAGCAGAAACGACTAAGCTACAAGTAGACGAGGATACCAAAAGATATGGTTAGTATTCTTTGCTACCAAAGGAGTTAATGAGCAAAGAGAGGATGTAACGGCTGGTTCCTCTTGACCTGCCTTGAGGCCTTGTTGGTAAATATCCCCCTAAAAAACGGTGGTTCTGATAAAAAAAAAAAAGATGAATAGACCAAGGGCATGTGTATTAATTTGAGAGTTTGAAGACGCACAGGGGGCCCAGCATCAGAGACTATGCGGGGCAACCGCCAACAAAAAGTTGTGTGTAGGCAATGTTCGTGAGTGGGTTGATTTCAATCCGACGGACTCGCCGCCAGCTCACGGCGTAGTGACGGGCTGCGTCATTGACTGGGAGTTGGGGTGTGTCAATTGGTCGCGTGGCTGAAGCGCGTGAGATCGAGGTTTTACTTGATGGACCTAGACACTCAGACTTCCATCAGTCCCCACCCTGTCTTCTTGCCTGCCCACGCCATTATCCGCGCACTCGCGAAGTCATAATCGTGGCCTTTTGGCAGCCCGCAGCACCATCGCGCTGACTCATCGCGCTTTCGCTTGTCAAACCTGAGCTCCCGCGTACAAATGCACTCCACGTTGTCCTACCCAACACACGTGCCCTGGTCGATTCGCAGCTTGAGGCACGCGGAATCAGGGTATCCCAACGACACACACACTGACCTCACTGGCGTGAGGATACCGCTGGCAGCTAGTGTGTGACGGAGTTTTTTCTAAAGTTTCTTCTCACAAAAAAACTGTTTCAACCTCCTCCATCTTC